TTACAGATGGATTTTTCTCTTTTATTTCAATGCGTCAGCTAAAACTGTTCACCAACATTTGTTGATTTAAACCAAATCCAGCCATGCCTAAACACAGGAAAGATGTGGACAAACTGGAGAGAGTCCAGAGGATAGCAACAAAAACAATAAAAGGTTTAGAAAACCTGCCCTATGAGGAAAGGTTAAAAAATGAGCATGTTTAGTCTCGAGAAATGATGACAAATTAATAAATATATTAAGGGCTGTTATTAAAGGAACTGCAATCAATTGTTCTCCATGTCCACTGAAGTTACGAAAAGAAGTAATGGGCTTAATCTGCAACAAGTGGGATTTAGATCAGATAAAGGAAAAACTTTAACTCTAAAAGGTAGTTAAGCTCTGGAATAGGATTCTACGAGAGGTTGTGGAATCCCCATCACTGGAGGTTGACTTGGTCCTGCCTCAGCCCAGGTGTCTACAGGCAGTGCTAAAACATCCTCCCCCTCCACCACCTAATAAAAGCCTCAGTTTCACAGAAGTTCCAGCAGAAACAACTTCTTGTTAAACAAGGAGAACCAAGTCTTCACCGTTGGCTCCATTTTATGGAAAGGACTAGGAAATGGTACCACCAGCAGGGAACCTATGGGATTTTCCCCAGTGAATTGGGGGCGGGGAGGAAGGGAGAAGGAGAAAAGGTTAGACTTCTCAAGAGCCTTTCCAGCCCTACTTTTCTGTGATATTTGTTTTTTCCCCAGTTTGCTTTAAAAAAAAATAGGAAATTACTTCCAAAAAAGCTACTTTACGAGAATGTAAGTACTCATACTCAAAAGTCGGGAAATGCCAGAATTAAGATTGCCCATGTAGCCTTAATTCAGACCCCTTGTGGGTATGCCTTATGATGTATAGTTTTTAATTACATGATCACACACTTTTTTCTCCACATGACCTCTGCTTAATTCAGTGCACAGGATAGGAGGTGTCCTGGAAATGAACCAGGGTTGTATAGAAAACGAGGCTATTGTCTGTAGATTTCTGCATCATTTGTTTCAGAGAAGTTGGAATGAGTGAATAAAGCAGGGGACTACAGAAAGAAAGGATAGTCTCATGGAAAAATCAGTTAAATGCCACCCTGAAGAACTGACTTCTATCCCCCCCATCTCCCACAGGGTTTCTATATGATGCTGGACAAATCACTTAAGCCACGAGTAGTCAATAGGCAGACTGCCAGACACTTTTGAATGGACCATGAAATCTTTTTACATACTTATTATCATTACTGTTATTGCAGAGTGAAAATTTTTTCTCTGAAGTCTGGACCTTGACAAAAAATAATTGACTACCCCGACTTAAATCAGTTTATTCACAGGTAGCCACTAATTGTTTGTTCCAAATCTTAACTTTTCAAGAACCGAATCTGACACATTTGGAGGCCTGATTTGCAAAAGAGATGACCATTCACAACTACAATGGAAGTCAATACAGGTCTGTTCTGGACATATAACATGTCAAACATCCTGAAAAAAATCAGTCCCCTGGCACTTCAAACTGGGATCCCAAAATTAACAGGCTCTCTCTACCTTAATCTCTTTGTGAACCAGTTCCTCATCTGTTAAGTGACAATAGAATACCACATTACCACACTGAAGTGTTATGAAAATAAATTAATGTTTATGAAGCAGATTGATATTATAATGATCAGCTCTGTAAGAAAAGCCAATGAGGAAATTAATTCTGTATTCAAAGCAGAGCAAGAAGAGTGTACAATAAGTTAGACATGGGAAGACAAATCAAATAGTGAGGATAAAACAAAACATTGAATAGCTGCTACTCATGGAGTTAATAGAACCCATTACAAGTACAGGATGAGGCTAATCTAATCATCAACTATCACTAATTGAAAAGATAGGATATCATTTGGTCATGTAATTAAAGACTAACACGTACAACAAATGGGCTGAATTAAAGTTGGAATATGCAGCATTAATTCTGTCATCTCCTAACTTTTTGAGTGGTTGACTTTGCAACCTTAACATTGTTTCATATTTTAATTTAATACTTATATTTTAATTTGAGGTGGAGGTAACAGACATATTTGCACGTCCACTTAAAGATGATCGGAATTTGAAAACTATACTGTAACCATAACCACAGCATCTCCTCAACTTGGTAACTGAATACTTGAAGACTAAATCATTGTCATAAGTGGAAAAAGATTAGCTGAAAAAACCTTTAGGTCAAAATACTGAAAATAATCATTTAAATATTCCTTTCCTTTAAAGGAACATAAAATATTTTGCATAAGATAAATACAAAACAAAAACCTAAAATTTACCCTCTTTATGAAATCTAAATATAGACGGTGTCCTGAACATTGATTACTGTTCTTTCCAAATTCATTTTGAAAGCAACTGTTCTTCAAATCACCTTTAAATAAAGATGGATCTGAACTATAAATTGTATTTCCTGCTACTCAGTTTCAAATTAACACTAACACATTGTGTCATTTACTTCCATTTTATGATAAAATATCAACATGATGTGCTAACAATTGTCAAATGATAGTGATTATATACACTGGCACAGTTTAATGATTTGCAAAGAAAAAGTAATGTTGTAAGTATTTTTTCCTATATACAGAGTTTTCACCTGAATCAAGTGTTGTGTGTTTATATATAAAACTTTGTGTTCAAACTTCACTCTGGGCAGAACTGTCCAAGAAACTCAAAGAAAACAAAGAAGTTTCTAAATGCACAAAATTAACATTAATCAATCCAGATTATACACAGTGCCTATTCTAAGTACATGGAAACTATTTTCAAATGAATCTTAATCAACAAATGTAATATATTCAGTAAAATAGATAGCAAAAAAGCAAAACCAGCCATGTATTTTTACTTGAAGTTGACAAGAAAGTTTCCAACTACTCATCCATTGTCATACAAGAGATTAGATTTGGAGATTCTATTATAACAAATTTTGATCCCATGAGTAATTCCCCAACACAGCTGTGACATCAACAATGGCATTAACATTTCAACAGGAAACAGAGAGTCATCCTAACACTGCTGAAAAGCATTTTTTTCTAACTTTTAACCTTCCCAGGTGTTTCATAGTTCTTTTGTATTACATCGAAATTGATGCAAAATTGTACGAAATATCTGAAAGCTTTGAAAACAGGAAGTGTTTCAACAGATAACTGTAGCAGTTTCCTAAAATTAGGTGGAATTAACACATCACTTTGATAAACTTTATCACAGGATCGAAAATAAGTGTTTTAGGCAAACTATAGTCAACACATTTTAACAGGAAACAGTGAACCAGTTCCTTAAATAGTGCCATTACCTAAAATTTCTATAATTTGTAAAATAACTGCAGATGCACTGAAAGAATTAAACTATGCTTATCCACCTTTTAGCAGCCAAAAGGGTGTCAAAACAAGGAGCTGTTTTAGGAGCACATAGTGCAATATGCCTGCTCCTTTTGCTTAATTAAATCTTGCTTTTGCTCCATACGCTGCGAACAGACCAAAGTATTTCCAACTAATTTATATTCTTTGCTTTGTGTCAAGTATCAGGGGGTAGCCGTGTTAGTCTGTATCTACAAAAACAAAAA